TACGCTAACTGCTGGTTCCCTCCATTATGTTTTCTTGATGTAGTTGAGTTGTCTGTGTTCTCTTGCATCTCATTGAGTTTCTTTAAGATACTTAGTTTGGGGACCAGCAGATGATGTAATGGCTAAGTCACTGGACTCCCATGTAGTCAACCACGGTTCGAGTCCTGGACCCAGTAGTTTAAACATGCTGGGCACGTGTGCATGCATGCCCAAGATCCTGAGAGGAGAATGGCGGATAAGGGATTGCAGTGTGGACATCCCTCCCCCCGGCCTGGGGGGGGTAATTTCTCGCTTTCTGTCTCTCTGTCTCTTTCTGTCTCTCTGGTGAGTGCACACACCTTATAGCAAAAACCTCTCTTAAAAACAAAACAAAAGATACTCAGTTTGAATTTTTATCAATTTGTAGATTCCATTTCTTTGGTATCGGTTACAGAAGCTTTTATTAGTTTCCTTTGGTGGTGTATTATATTATTGTCTACATTAAAAAAAAACCCTGAAGAATCTACAGAGTAACTATTAGAATTCGCAGGAATGTTTGCCTAGTTCCCTAGTTTGAAAATATCCCCCTGAAATTCATGTGCTGGGACTCGATTATTTTGTCTATACTATAAACCTATTAAGTGCAAACTTAATTCCTTCCTGGTGTCCCAGGGCGAGGCCTGGTGGGCAGTGACTGGCTCATGGTGATTGCATCGTGAGGGGAACAGTCGCATGAATGGAGCAGTGATGTCTCCCGAGACCCACTGAGTTCTAACTCTTGTGGGAAGGGATTAGTTCTTGCCAGGGCTGGCTGGCTGTCTCTCTGCAAGTGCCTGCTGTTTTCTGTGCTTCTGTTGGCCACGCTGTTGCCCTCGGACATTGGACTCCCTGCCTCCAGAGCCATGAGTTTGATAGTTACCATCCGTCTTATAAAATCACACAGGTTCAGTACTCCTTTTATTAATGCAAGAACGGACTAAGACATCCAGTTTTCTAGATGTAAAATCTACATACATATACGCATCCTATACACCAGGAAAGAAATCATTAGAAAATACCATTTTAAAAGAGATTCTGAAATAATTTGTAAAGGGAATGTTAGTGCATGGAGCCATTTGATGAAACATGATCTTAACACAGTGAAGAGACCAAGTTGTGTCAATACCTTAAGTCGCTGGTGACTTGTAGTCTCATTAAGAGTGCAGAAGCCAGGCAGTAGTACACGACTGTAGCGGACCCACATGGCAGGCCCAGCTTTGGATCCTGATGAACCTACAATGCTGGCTGGTGTGGTAAGATCCTGTCAAGGGTATCCTCCTCCCTCCCTTTTTTTGGGGGGGGGGTTGCTATAGGGCACATGTGCTCGCCAGACAGACAGAGACAGAGAGAAAGAGAAATCACCAACCAACCCCCCACCCCCACCCCCCCAGAGAGGATGGCCACACCACAATTCCTTCTCCTCCATTCTCCTCTCAGGATCTTGGGCACGCACGCACATGCGCCCAGTGTGAGTTTTAAGCCACCAGGTCTGGGACTTGAACCGCAGTTGGCTACATGGGAGTCCAGCGACATAGCCATTACGCTAAATGCTAGTCCCATCCCTCCCTCCCTTTCTCTCTCTTTAAATAAATAAACTTTAAGGAAAGTGGGAAAACCAGATATTATGTGCTTTTCGATGTGGACGTATTGAGTATACATCACAATTATTTATTATTATTGCTTAAAAAATTGAAACTGGGGACCAGTAAATGTTGTAACGATTACATTGCTGGACTCGCATGCAGTTGACGGCGGTTTGAGACCTAGACCTGGCGGCTTGAACTTAGGCCGGGCGCGTGTGGTGCATGCCCAAAATCCCAAGAGGAGAATGGAGGGAAGGGATTGCTGTGTGGCCATTCTCCGTGGGGGGGGTGTTTTCTCACTTTCTGTCTCTCTGTCCATGTTTATCTCTCTAGTGAACACATGCTTCTTATAGCAAAAATCTCTTGAAAAAAGAAGATGAAATTTTATTCTTATACCCTCAAAATGAAATTATATCTTTATTTCATATCACACAAAACATCAGTTTCAGGTGGGTTAATGACTTTAGTGTGACAGATAAAATTATAACATTATTAGGAGACTATATTCATGGACTTGGAATGGGCAAGATTTTGTGGAAAAGTCACAAAATTATACATAATAATGAAAAAAGAGGAGGTACATTTGGAAACATAAAAATTTTTAATTGTGTAAGTAAAAAATATAGTAATCAAAAATAATTCACGGATTGGAGGAAAATGTCTCATAAAATATAACAAAGTATTATTATTATTTATTATTTTAAATTTGCTTGTGTGCTCGCTGGAGAGATGCAGAGGAAAATCGCGAAGGCACCCTTCATGGGGGCTGGGCACGCTCCAGTCCACTCTCCTGCATTTCTCCCTCCTGGAAGATGTAAGATTTGGGGCACGTATACTCATAGGCTCAACGTTTGGTTTTTGTTTTTGTTTTTGTTTTTAATTTGCTGTAGGGTACATGTGCTCACCCTCAATGTTCTCTGGGTATTTGGGCAGCACATGTATGCACCCAGCATGTTTTTCAAAGTGCCATTTCTGGGGCTTGAACCACATAGTCGGCCATGTGGGATTTAGCTGCCCTAACCATAGAGCAACCTGGCTGCTCCCACCTAGTGTGTTTTTCAAGACATTGGTTCTGCAACTCAAAACCAAATAGTCGGCATGTGGAATCCAGCTGTCTTAACTAGCATACCACTAGGTGGCCCTATTATCTATAAAATACAAAGAATACCGGGAGTCAGTAAGAAAAAGACATCTTGATGAGAAAATGAGCGAAAGGCGTAAGTAGCTGTTTCACAGATGTGGAAAGAGGACTGGCCAAATGCCTGTGCAAAGAGGTTGAGCCTCAGTAGGGACATGCTTTTGAAAACCATCAAGAAGGGCTTCCGGACTGACAGAGTTTAGGAAACCTGATAGCACTGATGTCTGTGGATGTGGAGAAGGTAGGGGACTCTGTTTCACACTATTAAAAAGAATATAAATTAATGTAACTTCTTGGCCTAGCAATTCCGTTCTTAGACCTGTACCTTGGGAAACCGCACAGGTGTATGAGAGAGTGCTTAGCAGCATTGTTTTTGGTAGGAGGAAAGTGGAGACAGACCAGTTGCTCATCACATTAACAATGGGATAAAGCTGGGACCAGCTTTGTCACTGGACTCCCACATAGTCGACTGTGATTCGAGTCTTGGACCCGGTGGCTTAAACTCACACCGGGCACATGTGTGTGCATGCTCAAGATCCCGAGAGGAGAACGGAGGAGAAGGGATTGCAGCGTGGCCATCCCCTCTGAAGGGTGATTTCTCACTTTCTGTTTCTTTGATTTTCTTTCTGGTAAGCGCACACGCCTATAGCAAAAATCTCTCAAAAAAAAGTGGGGTTAAGCAACTGACATGTATTATTTTATGCCATAATGAAAAATCGAGGGAGGGCATGGGGCCTGCAAGTGGCAAGTTGGTTAAGGTGCTGGACTCCCACGTGGCTGACCACGGTTTAAGTCCCGACCTGGCAGCTTCACTCTCTCTCTCTCTTCCCCCCACCCCCGTGAGCACACGCGCCCTACAGCAAAACTAAAAAAATAATAAATTAAATAAATAATTCTTTTTTTTTTTTTAAAAATGGAGGGCGTAAGAAACCCTATTAGTGTTGTCATTGATTTGTCTAAGTCTCAAAACATACTGAAAAAAATATTTTCTTAGTGAATTTTGTAAAGTTAAAAAATATGCAAAATATAAATGAGTCTACTTATAGTAAAGCCATGATAAGAGAGTTTTAAACATGAAAACTAAGTTACTCTTAGCTTTGAAGGATAGAGTAATAGGCAGTGTAAGAGAATTGAGAAAGTTATATAAGGAACTTCAGATACAATTTTTTTAATTAAAGAATTATTTTATTTAACTTATTTGTTTTAACTTGACCAGAGAGGGAGGTAGAGAGAGAGGATGCAAGAAGGCAAGCCGCCAGGTCCGGGACTCGAACTGCAGTCAGCCCTGCAGGACTCTAGTGCCCTTAACCACTACACCACTTGCTGGCCCCCCTGCTGCTTTTTTCTTTTTTTAAGTAAACCAGAGGGTGTGTGCGTTCACTGGAGGGGGCGTAGATGAAAACTCACCCCTCCATGAGAGGTGGATGGCCATGCCTCAGTCCCTCCTTCCCATTTCTCTCTCTTCCTGGGATTCTAGGCATGCATGCACAGGCACCTGGCATGTATCTCGAGCCGCCAGGTTCAGGTCTCAAAGCTCTAGGTCCGGGTCTTAAAGTGCTCAGTCAGCCTTGGCGCGTCCAGCCACGTTGACCACCGTGCTGCAGGCTGGCCTGTGGTCTTCATATCATTATTTTTCAACACGTATATATTATATACAGTCTTTGCAGTGTTTGAAATATTTAGTAATGATAAAATTAGAGTCCTTATTTTTAAAAGAATTATTTTATTTAACTTTATTTATTTAGTTACTTGTTAGTTTAATTTGACCAGAGAGGGACAGAGTGAGAGAGAGGGAAAGTGAGAAAGCAAGCTGCCAGGTCCGGGACTCAAACCGCAGTCAGCCATGTTAGAGTACAGTGCCTTCAACCACCGTGCCACCTGCCAGCCCGTTGGTAAACATAGAGTTCTATTACAAAGCCTACTCAATCAGCCGTTCTGATGTTTCAGTGCACCGATCCAGGAGACTGCTTTTGTGTTTTAACGTGAATCTCCGATGGTCTCTTTTCTGTCCAGTCAGCCTACCGCATGCCTTTCTCTTGTGCCATGACCTCATCATGCCCCACAAAGCTCGGGCTGAAATACGCCATCCCTAGAGGGTCATTGTGTGCAGTTGTCATCACTGATAAGGCAGAATTTGAAATGCTTGAAAAAATCGGATGGCAGGGTTTTTTTTTGTAGGTTCCTTGGGACAGGTCTGTAAATAAACATTCTTTTCTTTGCATCCATGTAAAAAGCTTGCTATTTCTCCCCCCGATCCTTAGGCAAGTGAAGGACCAGAATAAGAAGGTAGCCAACCTGAAGCACAAGGAACAAGTGGAAAAAAAGAAGAGCGCACAGATGCTGGAGGAGGCTCGGCGGAGGGAGGACAACCTCAACGACAGCTCCCAGCAGCTGCAGGTCAGAGCGCGGGGGTTCCGGGAGGCCCGGAGGTTGGGCCCGTGACTGCATGTTCTTTCCCTTTGCGTTCGTCCTCCTCTTTTCTCTCTCTAACCCTGCTTGCTGCCTTCCTCTCAGGCCAGCGGTTTAGCAGTAAAGGAATGGCTTTAAATAGAAAGGACGGGTTTTATTCCGCAGCTTTGTGAGGACACCTCGGCGTAGGAGAGCGGGGCCCTGCTTCGACTGGTGAGTCCAGCGTCAGTTCAGTGAGCGGTCGCCAGACGGCAGGGTGGCGGCCCCCGCTGTTCGCAGTCCCACGCGCAGAGGCATTGCTGACCGGGGTGTGCGTCTCTCCTCCTGTTTTCCGTTTGATTCCTCCTTTCTTTCCATTTCCTTCTTCCACCTTCCTTTTCTTTCTTCTTTTTAAAAATTGGGCTTAGACTCAGAGAATGTTTCCCCACACACAGGGCTTGCAGATTGTATTTTTTTCACTCCAGTGGAGTCATAATTGCTGCGTAAGCCTAATTACCCTCAGATTCAGCCAGACTCAGTGGCAGCAGCAGCTCGTGCTGTCGTGGAAGTGCCGACTGCATCCCAGTGTGTGGAATCAGGCCCCAGTGGTCCTTGCCTCCCTCCCCTTCAACAGTCCAGCGCACGTGGTGGTATTGTGTGCGTTTTGCAGCTGAGGAAGTAGACAGACACGGAATTACCTCCCTGAGTACACAGCTTTCTGAGTGGCTCAGCCATGACTTGGACTGGAATGTCCTGGTAGCCGGTCTCCCTGTGTTAACCGTCATGTTTCAGAAGGAAGGGTCAGGTTTCAGGGAAGAACGCCGTGAACTGGCCGGAGCCCTCTGACATTTCTCTTCAGCTAGGGCAGAATGTTTTTCTCTTACTACAGCCCCAGCTGGGTGATGTCATGTGTGTGCCGGAAATGCATAAGTAGGAATACTTTTTTTTAGTAGGGGCGGGGAGGTTTTTGCTATAAGGTGCACATGCTCGAGACAGAAAGCGAGAAATCACCCCCCGGGGGGATGACCACACCACAATCCCTTCTCCATTCTCCTCTTGGGATCTTGGGCACGCATACACACACGCCTAGCGTGAGTTTAAGCCACCTGGTCCAGGATTCAAATCGCTGTTGGCTATATGGGAGTCCAGTGACATAGCCATTACGCCAACTGCTGGCCCCAGGAAATTTTTTTTTAATACACTTTTGTCCCCAGGAGCACCTCTGAAGCATGCCAATATTTTTTTTAAGAATGATTTTTTTTATTTAACTTCATCTGTCTTTCTATATGTCTATTTTAGTTTAATCAGAGAGGGAAAGAGGGAGAGAGAAAGTGAGACAGGAAGCTACCCGATATTTTTTAAAAATAATTATTTTATTTAACTTTATTTATTTTAATTTGACCAGATAGAGACTGGCAGAGAGAGAAAGAGGGAGAGAGAAAGTGAGAAAGGAAGCTACCAGGTCCGGGACTTGAACTACGGTTGGCTGTGTGGGAATCCAGTGCCCTTAATCTCTATGCCACCTGCTGGCCCCAAGTAGGAATTCTTCACAGGAGAGATTTGGAGGACTCGTGTAGAAGCCATTCATTTCAGACATGGAGACTCTGGGTTTTACTTCATTCTTTTTAATGTAAGTTTGCTCATGATAGTCCTTGTGGAGCTACAGTACAGCTACATTTTCTCAGATGCACCTGACTTTTGAAAAAAGCAGTAAACCAGTTTTCCCTTACCTTCGCCAGCAATAGTTGATATTGACAATTTTCTTGCTCCTTTTTTAATTCCTGAAATCTGGTGGTTGGAAAAGAACTCAGTTTTGTTTTAGTTTATATTTCTCTGTTTACCAGCGATATTGAATTGTTTGTTTTTTGTTTTATTTTTTGCTATATGATGCATGCACTCACCAGAGAGAGAGAAAAAGTGAGAAATCCCAGGAGAAATAGCCACGTTGCAATCCCTTCTCCTCTAGTCTGCTCTGGGATTTTGGCCATGGAGTTTTAGGTCACTGGATCTGGCATTCTCACTGCAGGGTTGGCCATGTGGGATCTTTGCCTTAACCTCCACGTCACCTGCTAGCCCCTTATATTGAGCGATTTTGAATGCCTTGAGTTTTCATTTGTATGTTAATACAATCCAGATCTCTCTTCCACGGTAGCTTCTTCCTCCGTGGGCTTTTTGCTTAGTTTATCCCCATTTGAAAGTGTATAAATACTTATCCATAATTTACCAAAAATAAAAAATTTATTTACCAACTCTATTGCCAGAAGGCATGTGTGCTTGCCAGATAGAGACAGAGACAGAGAGAGAGAAGGAAAGCAAGCACACTCCATGCGGGCCCCTCAGAGGTGTGGTCCCACTGCAGTCTTTTTTCTCTATTTCTGCTTCCCATCGCCAGCAATTCTACCATGGCTGGCCACGTGTGACCCTGTTCCCTATACACAGGGGTTTACTGTGGCCCTGTGGGGTCGACCCATACACAGATATTCTAAAGTAATTGCAAATTGTGCTTTAACTTTTTACCTTTAACTTTACTGTTTAATTTAGGGTATTTTCAGTGGATTTTTTTAGTATTTTTATTTATTTGTTTTATTGCTAGAGGACCTGTGCTCTTGCTGAGGAGGGAGACGGAGAAAGCACTATGATGGGACCTGGCCGCGTTGCCCCCTCCGCGCCTCGGTCTCTCCGTGCTGGCAGGGTCCCGGTGCACTGTGATGGGACCTGGCCGCGTTGCCCCCACCGTGCCTCGGTCTCTCCGTGCTGGCAGGGTCCTGGGTGCACAGGGGGGCCTCACTGCGATGTTTCCTGCAAATTATTTCATTGCTCACAAGTTCGAACTGGCATCTGTATATTTTATGAAATGGTTGATGATTAGTCTTATTCTAGGGTTTCAGTTGAACCTCCCTTATTGAGCCACATTGCTTTTTTAATTGTAGAAAATATTTATTTTGTAAGGCAAGCCTGACTTCATGTTAGCCTCTTCACTGGTCTGTCTCTTGCTCCCTCTCCCACCCCCCTTTAATGTGTGTTGTTACCAGTCTGTCTTCACAAACCCAAGGCATCCTCTAGCCTTGTCAGTAATTATGATAACATCAAAAGTGTTTCCGTATGTAACCTCTTATTCCTGTTCACATAAACTGAGAGATGAGTACGATGGATGGTAAGTACTTGCTTCTCTTTTACATGTCAAGAAAACTAGGGACCAGCAGGTAGCATAATGGCTATGTTGCTGGACTCCCATGTAGTCAACCGCGGTTCAAGTCCCAGACCCAGTGTCCATGTGCGTGCCCAAAATCTCGAGAGGAGAATGGAGGAGAAGGGATTACGGCGTGGCCATCCCCTGGGGGGTGATTTCTCGCTTTCTGTCTCTCTGTCTTTCTGGTGAGCACACGTGCCCTATAGCAAAAACCTCTTTAAAAACAAAACAAAACTAAGAGTGGGTGACTGTTTCTTTCTAGCAATAGACATCCTGGTTATGAAAAATGATAGCTGCTAGCCACATATGAGTTATATATGGCTGTAATTCACCCAAGCATAGTAAAGAAGAGCGCAGGACCGCCAGTTAGGATACTTAGAATCGAAGTCTGCTCTTTACCCTTTTCCTTAAGTATATTGTGTGTGTGTGGGGGGGGGGAGGGGGGTGTCTTCAAAAAGTTCATGGAAATGCATATTATGAGAAAATAATGCATGGATTTAAAAATATTTTTGCACCAAAATAGACTCATACTTTAATCCCATTTTTCCATGAACCTTTTGAAGTACCTTGATTTTTCTTAATTATGTTATTGCAAATGAGAAATCAGAAGAAATGAGTACTCCAAGTACCCAGATTGTGACCTATAAGTGTGACTCACCTCTGAGAGAAGCTAGGGACTCTGGGAGGGACGGCCGAGTCGGAGGGTGGCCGGAATTGTATGGAGTGAATTGAGAGCACTGGGTCTCCAGCTCCAGTGTGCATTAGAATCACCTGGAGGGGCTACGAGTGTAACTGGCAGGCCCTCTCCCCAGGGTTTCTAGCCAGGAACTTCAGGGAAGTCCCCTAGGATTCGCCTTTCCAGTCAGGTCCTGGGTGATGACACAGCTGGTCCAGGGGCCACACTCTGAAAAGAGCCAATTGCAGCGTCATGTGATATCAATAGTTAAGAAGCTATCACAGTGGGCCTGCAGGAGGTGTGGTGGTTAAGGGCGCTGGACTCCCACATGGCCGACCGTGGTTTGAGTCCTGGACCTGGCAGCTTGCTTTCTCACTTTCTCTCTCTCTCTCTGGTCAAATTAAAATGAATAAATAAATATATAGATAAATAAAATAAATAAAGTTCAATAAAAAATTTTCTTTTTTTAAAAAAAGATTTATTTATTTAATCCATTTGTTATTATTTTTTAATTTGACCAAACAGAGAAGAAAGAGAGAGAAAGAGAAAGCAAGAAAGCAGGTCTGGGTCCTGCCAGGTCCAGGACTCAAACAGTCGGCCATGTGGGAATCCAGCGCCTTTTACAACCACGCCACCTGCTGGCCCCAATAAAAAAATTCTTAAAAAAAAAAGAAGCGATCAAAGGCCACTCTGACCACACGAGGAAGTTGAGGAGTGAGAATGAAGGATGGATGGACAATTTGAGCATAAAAGGAACTAGTGGGTGCAGTGGATTAAAAGAAATCAAGCCTTTTAAAATAAAAGTTGCATGATAAGACTATAAAAATAATGTGGAGATTGCTAGGGCACCAGAGCATTACTCTGAAAAACAGGTGAAGAAAGGGAAAGGATCCGCTACCCCGGCTCTCACAGGTAAACCGTATTGTAGGGAGATAAAAATTGATCATGGTACCTCATATGCTGAAGAATTCAGCTGTTATGTGCAGAAAGAATAACAGAATTCAGAAAATCTTGCAGCCACCATGTAAACATCGGATCTTGGCAGTAGTCAGCAATGCCTACTGAGGCCGTGAGCTGAAATGTGAAGAGGGACATTGCAATAGACGAGGCAAGTTGATGCCCGCTGATAAATCTGTCAGTCCT